GGAGATTAGAAGGCTCTTTATTAGCTAACTTCTGGAAGGCTAACTCTGAGCATTTGTTACATGCCCTTGGCACCTTTGTCACTACTCGGGAACTTGAGGACATGATCTACAGAAGGAATTCATCTAATGCCTGCGTTCCTGTGTTCCATGTCCTAGGATGAGCCTCAAAAGGCGTCAGCTTGATTCACTCTCAACCCTCGAATATAGACAGTCCTGTTTCGGTGCTAGAAAAGCCATAAAGCCTTATAATTTAGGCTTGATTGATCATGGAGCAGATACTCTGTCATATTTTTCCTTCTTGATTATCTCCCTCCCTTTTGTTTCCTTTGGTGTTTGGTTTGTTGCTTTTGCTTTTTTAATAGTTTCCTGACCTCTATGGACTGCCTATGGGGGAAAGGAGACAGCGCTGTTAGCACGCCACCAGGTGGAGATGTTGAGCTGCCATGATCCACCTCAGCCGGGCAGCCCTGACAAATAGCCCTGGTTCCAGTGTGAGCTGCACTGAGAACAAGGTGGATAATTTATTTCACCACAGAGTCCATGGAGACCGTTTGTTCAGGGTACTTGAACAGGGCTAAAGAATCTGATTCTGATTTTGTTTTTCTGTTGTTTTGTTTTGTTTTGGTGGGTTTTTGTTTGTTTGTTTGTTTTGTTTTGTTTGTTTGTTTATAGGGCTCATGCATTTGCCGGAGAGGAGGGAGGCAGAGAGAGACAGAGAGAGGGGAAGCGAGAAATCACCCCGTAGGGTGGATGGCCATGCCACAATCCCTTTTCTCTTCCACTCTCCTCTCGGGATTTTAGGCATGCACACACACACACACACACACACACACACACACACACACGCCTGGCATGATTTTTCAAACCACCAGGTCCAGGCCTTGAACCGCAGTAGGTCATGTGGGAATCCAGCCACCATAACCACCACACCACCGGCTGGCCCCAGGTATCTGAGTTTTAACACTTTCCCTTCTCCAGAATCCTGGTACAGACTGGTCCAGGGAGCACACTTTGAGAAACTCTGATGGAAATGATAGTAGAACACATGCAGGATGTGGCCAGAGAAAGAGTATAATGGAGAAGAAGAGGAGAGAGGAAAACCAAGTCCCAGGAAATTCTGTCATAGAGGGGCCCCTTGGTGGAGACAAAACTTGCAAAGACAGTGAGAAGGGACCGGCATGAGAAGAGACTCACGGTAACATGCGTAGTGATGGACACCCAAGGGAGATAGAAGCAATGGTAACAACAGAAAGGAGAGTGGCCATCCATGTAGACTGCCGAAGAGAATCAAGCGAGCTGCTGGGCCGGATGAGGTCTGTTTGATGGAGCCACATGGACATCATGGTTGACTTTAGGGCGACAGTCCATGAGGAAGATGTGGGGGGGGGGGCTGGCGATGGCTTAAACGGGTAGAAGAGGGCATGGGAAGTGAGGAAACTGGGGGGACGGCGTAGACAATTCTTGGCAGAGCTTTGTCACTGGGGGAGGGGGGAGGGTGGTGGACACGCACGTGGACTTAGGAGTTAGACCCCATTTACAGGTCGATAGGTCAGGGGCCCTGAAGGAGAGTCTCTGTGCTTGTTCTTTTCTAATGAAGCCAATTATGTGCTTCTCTATAGTCTGGTTAATGTACCTGTCTCTGGTAGGAGATAGGCCACACACACACATACAGTCAGGGTACAGACCCTCGAGTTGGAGCCAGCTCATAAGATGGAGTCCCTCTGGTCAAGCTTTTAATAGAAATCGTTCACTGCTCTCACTGGAAACCATTATTAGCTCTCACTGCTTGCCCACACAGAGAACTGCTTACAGCCAGAGCTGTTTAGAGCCTGCTTGAGATAATGATGGCTGAAATGAACGCCTTCCATATCACTGCTATGTTCCAAACGGAGACCATGGTCTCCCTTGGTCTGGAGAGCAAGAGAGCAGAAGGCCTTGGACAATTGCTCCCCATGAGCCATCACTTGAGAAACGGGAACATAACATGCAGGCTTGCACCTGCAAGATAAGGGGGGTCTGAATGAGATTGCATTTTTAGAAGCACAAGGGCAAAATACATCAAAGAACAAAGAAAGCTTTGTCTTAGACTTGTGGGAGACATGATAAAAACTAGAAACTCTCTGGGCCACAGACCTCAGACAGAGATCTGCTGAATGCTCACTCATGAAGGTCTCAATGTCCAAACTCTTGTGGTTCGTGAGCTCCCTCCCAAATAGGAGAAGAATGACGTAAATTACCTGTCGTGTAATCCCCATGATGAAAATACCGGGACCAGCAGTTAGCGTAATGGCTATGTCACTGGACTCCCACGTAGTCGACTGCCATTCGAGTCCCGGACCCGGTGGCTTAAACTCACGCCGGGCGCACGTGCGTGTGTGCCCAAGATCCTGAGAGGAGAATGGAGGAGAAGGGATTGCAGCGTGGCCACCCCCACTGGGGGGTGATTTCTCGCTTTCTGTCTCTCCGTCTCTTTCTGTCTGTCTGGCGAGCGCACGCACCCTATAGCGAAAACCTCTCCAAAAAAAGAAAAAAAAAATACATGCACAAGTCTGTCCTTGCTGGGATAAAAACCCTTCGCCCCATCTCCTCTTTGGCCACCCATTCGGGCCCCATTCCACTGCGCTGGAAGCTTTCTCTTCCCTAATACACTTTGCTTACTATCCTCTCCATTTGTCCACGTTTCTAGTTCTTCATGAGTGTCAGACAAGAACCAACACAGGTGTTGGGCTTGACCACCCCCACACCCCCACCTCGGTGAGAATTACACTGGTTGGAAATAAGGCCCAGGGATTTTTGAGCTGAAGGAGATTCAAGTGTGTGCAAATATGAATGGATATGAATGGATGGCTTGGAAAGAGATGAAGTGGGAGACTGCGTAAACACACACACAAACACACACGCACACACATAAAATATACATAAAAAACTTATACATATAAAACTTATATACATGGGACCAGCAGGTGGCCCGGTGGTTATGGTGCTGGGCACTCCCACATGGCTGACCACAGTTCGAGTCCTGGACCTGGTGGCTTGCATTCTCACTTTCCCTCTCTCTCTCTCTCCGTGTGTGTGTGTCTCTCTCTCTGACCAAAATAAAATAAATGAATGAATAAATAAAATTAAGTAAATAATTTAAAAAACATACATACATGTAAAACTTAATGTACTTAATAGCAAACTTACAAGAACAGCACAGAGGACAGGCAACATTAAAAACCCATACTTGCATGTAGGACACCTCAGGTGGAAAAGTACGGCGAATGGACGGAATCTACTATATGATAAACGTGCTACAAATGCCATTTAGTTGCCGTTGATAAGAAATTTACTTGTTTCTGAAAAATCCAAATGCTGGCATTGTCCATCAGATTTTAGCATGTTCATTTATAATTGTTATAAAGTCGAACTGCCGAAACTTGTTCCCCGAAACATTTGGACTTGCAGTAATGCTTTACATCCCCACATGTGTATTAAACATCCACACACAAATGAAAATGGAAAAAACTGCCAGCATCTGATGCCTGTCCCCTATTCTCCACTCCCAATCACGTACTTAGGTATGTTCTGACCCCATGGGGAGAGGGGGGAGTCTCATGTTCAGAACTGCCAATAATAACAGGAGGAAGGGGAAAAAAGATTTAGAATGAAATGTTTCCCATCAAAGTGGATTCTTAAGCGCATTCTCCACATGTGCACTGTGCCAGCTGGCTGGGCTTGGGCATAATTGCCGCACGTTTGGCACCGACAGCCCACAGGTTGGTACCTTCACAGAGGCCTACCAGATAGGCCTCACTTGCCTCCTGCAGCGCACCAATAGGTGCGCTCTGCAAGCTCCCATCGATCCCTTCGGAATCCCGAGCAATTTCTCTCACTAGGCTCTGGAAAGGAAGTTTGTGAATCAAAAGCTCAGTGGGCTTTTCTGATAAGGTCTAATTTCACAGAGTGGCACAGTACCGGGCATGTAACGACGAGGTTTCCACCCGCCTCCAGTACAGGGTGCACTCCTGTCAGTGGCTCTTGTAGCCAGTTGCTTCCCAGGTGCTTTAACACGGGTGGATTTGCGGTCTGTCTGCTTTGTAGGGGCCATGGTATAGAGACCTCCTCGCTTACCCTGCTCCGGCTTCGGCAGGAGCTCGACGAGCTCGAGGCGGCGCCGGCATCAGAGAGTGACTGCCGGAGCTGAAGTGCTACATGCTGTCCACCGCTGACAGAAAAGTCCGAGTGTTGGTGAGCATACGCAACAAGCCAGGCCATCTGCAGGTGCAAGAACAAGAGATAATCATTTGGGCATTCCAGAGTATTTGGGCAGCTCAGGAGGTAGCAATCGGTGCACTCGTCGGCAGCGTGTAAAACCTTTGGCACGTAAGTCAGACAGCACAGCATTCGTGACGACGCTGCTCAGAAGAGATCTAAGCTGGAAAGCGTGGAGATGTCCATGGACAGGAAATGGGCGCGTGTACAGTGCAGTGGCCCCTCAACGGTCCACGGGCAGGACGATGGAGGGATCTGCTGGCGTTGAGTGGGCTCGGAGACTGGTGTGCGTGACAGGGCTGGCAGATGGAAGTCCCGTGGGATCCCCCAGTCAGACTCAGCCGAGTCAGAGAAAACTGCAGGATATGGCCGACAACATGGGCAGTTCACTGAGGTGCCAGACACGCAGGCAGGGGCCACTGAGCCGCGCCCTAGCGGGATGAACCGAGGCACCAGCGGCAGCCGCGTAGAGAATGGCGGGTGTGTCTGAGACCCGCCTGGCCATGCGCCCTGACCTGCCTTCACGCAGGAGGGCAAGCTGGGAGTGAGGGGCGGGGTGCCACTCCTGGCCAGGCTGAGGAACAGGAAAGCCCCGGAGACAGAGGAGCGTGGCTGGCTCACGAGGTCCTCCAGTCAGGGTCCCAGTGGGCGGGTCCGGGCCTGCACTGCGGGGGCGTGGCCTGGCGTGGCTCCACCTCCAGCTCGTGCTGGGTGCCAGCCAATCAGGAGCAGAGGCCAACTGCTCGCGAGAGGATCGAGGCTGTCGAGAAACTGCGCTTGAGGAGAGGTCCTGGAGCTCCTGTGAGGAGTGGTCCTGAGGTGAAGCCAGTGTGTCAGGGTGAAGGGAGGCCTGTGGGGGAACCAGGGTGGAGTGGGGTGGGCCCAGGGCTGAGCCCCGAAGTAATGTCCCTTCCGCTGCCATCGCCTGAGGTGTGGGGTGGGACCAGCCCCTGAGGCTGGAGGGGTTGAGGCGGTCTGGAGGGCGTCTGGGCCTGGGGGGAGGTTGCACGCGGCTGCGGTATGTACATATATGTGTGTGTGTGTGTGTGTGGCGGGGGGCGAAGTAGGGGACTGTGCTCCCTGTCGGCTGCCCATCAGGACCACACACTTGGGTCACCTGAGGTCTCCCTGGGTGCACAGGGACGTGGCCAGACCGCCCCTGACGGTCCGGGGCTCACGTACATTGGTTCCTCACCCTTCAGAGTGGCCGGAGAGTCGACCACCACAGCCGGTCTTCCCGACTGGCACGGGGTCCCTTTGGAGTGCAGTGCAGGTGGGGAGGTTGTGGGGGCGGGCCCTGGGGAGCGAGGGGCAGGGCCCAGCCTGGTTCTGGCGGTGGGGGCAGAGGCCGGGATGTGCTAGAGAGGTCTGCAGTTAGCCCTGGTTTCGGGAGGGGACGGGGCCGAATGGGGTGCTGGCCTTCCCTACGTGTCCCCTCCTGCCCCACAGCAGACGCCACCCTTCTTGACCGCGAGACTCGTGGCCAGGGCTTGCCTCTCACCCATCCCATTTCTTTGGCGTGTCTCTGTACCAGACACTGCAGGACAGTCCAGTCCTCCCTAAGGTCCCAGGATACCCACAGCCATGGCCCCCGGGAGAAGAAAGCGTGGCCGGAGAGCTTCCCAAGCACCGGCGAAGGCTCAGGTTGTGGCTGCCAGTGAAGTTGAGCACCAGGGTAAAACCAGTCCCAGGGGGCCCCCATGTGGGGTCCCACTCAGGAACAGGGGTCTCTGTGCTCTGTGCAGAGGACCAGCAGGGACCATAAAGGTCCCAGGGTGGTGGGGAGGGGTCCTGGCTTGCACTCCAGGAGGGACCCTTGGGAGCTAAACCCTGCTTTCTGAAGCCTGGGCATGGGCTTTAGCCACTCCTCATAACCATGTGCCACCCCACCCATTGCAGAGGATCCCCAGCTCTCCTCAAGTGCCAGCCCTTCCTTGCACAGTGGCGGACAGCTGTCCCCAGCCCGTGGTGAGTTTCACCCCAAAAGGCTGGCCAGGCCGCCTCCTGAGATGGTCAGCACCTAGCCTGATTTCCTCTCCCCTGCCTGTCAGCGCCTGGGGCAGGCCTGTTTCACACTCTGCACGCCAAGAGGAGCGAGCTGCCAGGGACACTATTTCTGCTGGAATGATGGCCATGGTAGCCTACTTCACCCAACAGTGCTTTTCCTTTCTCTGTTCCAAACAGCTGACTCTCCAGGGAATGACAGACATGGAGAAAGCAGTCCTTTCACAGGAACTCCTGAGATCGATCCGGGGTAATTGCCTTTACAGCAATTTTTACCTACCCACAAAGGACTTGGGAGAAGTCACCTATGGCCCTCATACAAGTGTCGCATGGGGAACTTTGGCCTAAGATGTCTCTTCCAATGCTAATGTGATATTTCACATTTCCTCAATGAAAAAGTTTATGTTATTTTTTTTCACAGGAATGAATTCCAGAAAATATTGGAAACATTTCAAGGTACGTGTTAGGAGCTACTTTTAGTGGAAGAAGAGTGTTCTAAACGGTAAGGCGTTCTTAGCGGGAAATGTTCACTAGTGCACCATGGGGCCGTCATCTAATGCCTCGTCTGCGTGGGGGTGACTGGTTAGAGTGATTCGGCATCACACTTTTGAACTGGTGAGTGCAGAGCATGGCACTGACCAAGTGAGGTGAGAGCGGTGCTTTCGTATTACGCATGGGAGTTAGAAGAAAGTTGGAGGAAATATCCTCCATTCCACGTCGTGTCACATCATAAGTGGTAAATCCTTTTTACATCAATGTTATATTTCCCGTGTAAGTTCTCGTCTGTGACTTTCCCAGTTTTCTTTGAGGCAAAGCGGTGCCAATCGGAGCCTGCAAGATAGCTCTTGATTGTTGCGTTGCCATTGGAGAGCGGTGTAGTGTCGAGCTAGCGCAACTTTTATGGCATGTAGAGATGAGCGATAGATCCACAGAATTACCAGTTTCATGTCAACACCTCAGATGTCTGTTGGGCTAACTTCGTTAAGGACAGGCTCTTTTGTTGTTTTGTTTTTGTTTTTTTTCTTTTTTGTACAAGTTTTTGCTGTAGGGCACATATGCTCCCCAGAGAGAGAGAAGCAAAGTGAGAAATCACTGCAATCCCTTCTCCTCCAATTTCCTCTCAGGATTTTGGGCACAAGTGCACATGCACCTGGTGTGATTTTCCAGCCACCGGGTCCAGGACTAGATCAGTGCGGCTGGCCATGTGGGATCCAGCACCTTAACCTCCACGTCACCTGCTGGCCCAAGGGACAATCTCTCTCTCTCTCTCTCTCTCTCTCTCTCTCTCTCTCTCCTGTCTTCCAGGAAGTGACAGTTTATTGAGGATATGGGGATGACAAATATTTATAACTATAATATACACCATAACAGATTTAAGGTTTCTGTGACAGAGGTAGATAGAAAAGGTTAAAAAATGTTCAGGCAATGAGAGGGCACCTAAGCGGTATGCGTTTGGGGATTAGGGGTACAGTTGAGATTAGATAAATGGGATAACTGCTGAGCCTAATGAAGGCTGCTATTTAAATGCAGAGATGGCAGGAGTGCAGTGATGGAAATGGCCAATAATCTTGTGTCAGGGAAGGCAGGTCAGACTGGGAGAAAGTGACCGGTAAAGCTAGGGTGGGAAAAGGTTATAGGTTTATAGATGTTTCTTATTTATGTCTTTCTTTTCTCTTGATTTTACTCTTTTTTTTTTTTTTCCTCTTTTTTTTTTTTTTTTTTTTTTGGTTTGCTGAATCTTTTCTGTTTCTGGTACTTACAGAGAAAAGTCTGTCTTTCTAACATTCATTTAGTTTCATTGTAAGGTCGTCATTTTTTTTTTTAAATTACATTTAATCACATATATCTTTACAGTGTATTACATTTATTTTTTCAGCACGATTACTGTGCGTGTCAGTCAAGACAAAGACATTACTATCCACATCATCATCATCAAATAGCACATAGCTTTTCATCATTTTTTCAAGTTATTATTATTATTATTTATTCTCATTATTTTTTTAAACATTCAATCACTATATATCATTTTGCTTGTAAAGAGAATTTACCCAACATGAAATACTTCTCAGACCAGTCCAGTTGAGAATACTATACATGTTATCATCAACAGGTAATAAACCATTTCTGTGTCCCACTAATGTCATGCCTGTCTACGTGTTCTCTGGTTATCCTTCTCTATACTGTTCCCTTCTCACCTTGCCCCCCCACCCCCCACTCCACACTGTCTTCAGCATCCATAACTATTTTCACTGCTTTTACGCCCGCTAGTGTTTCAAACTCTAACTATAAAGTACAGGTAGTCGGTATATATTAAGTGGATACATACAGCATCTTTCTTTTTATAGCCTGTCTTGCTTTACTCAGCAATAAATCTTCTACATTCGACCACTTTCTACCAGGTGCCAGGGTCTCGTTGTCTTTTATGGCCGAATAGTATTCCGTAGAGTATATGTGCCACACTTTTTCCATCCATTCATCTGTTTGTGGACGTTTGTGTTGGTTCCATGTCTTAGCGATCGTGAATAATGCTGCAACAAACATTGATTTGCAAGCGTGTTTCCGACTGAGCACTCTCCTGTCCTTTGGGTAGATACCCAGAAGTAGTTCTATTTGTAGATCTTTGAGGAACCTCAACACTGTTTCCCACAGTGGCTGAACCGGTTTACATTACCACCAACAATGTAGGGGAGTTCCCAAGGGACAAACTCTTTAACAAAGCGTCACGCTCAACTTTGACTTCTCCACATGGGCACTTCCCGAGAGCATGTGTGTTTTCAAAGCTGTCATCTTCCGTTCGCTGGTGGAAATGTGCTTGGTTTACGAGCAGTCTCATAAGTCAGTTTTCAAAGATGGTTAACTGGATTTACAAAATATTTGCACGGTAGTGCGGCCCCTTCATAGCTTCCAGGAGATAGATCTTGATTGTAGATCCATAATACAGACTCTCTTGCTTTGCAAGCATTATTTGTGTTTTTTTTTTTTTTTTTTTTTTTAAAAAAGTGTTATGAGATGCAACACTCTGTGGTGAAAACCACACACTAAACCCACCACCAAAGTGTCTAGAAAGTGTTCTTGTCAATTTATTTAATTCCTGAAACTATCCACGGCCTTTTCTCTTTAGTCAAATTTAGTTCGAAGCATCACAAGCATCACTGCGTTTAAAATATTATTTCTTAATGTCCCATGCGATCGGAATCACTCAGACACTTTAAAAACAGCACTCTTTCTGTGCTTTGTGTGAAGATCTCTAATCTTTTTGTTTGTAAGATTTTTTTTGTTTTTTTTTTTTTTTTTTTTTTTTTAAAAAAGTGTTATGAGATGCAACACTCTGTGGTGAAAACCACACACTAAACCCACCACCAAAGTGTCTAGAAAGTGTTCTTGTCAATTTATTTAATTCCTGAAACTATCCACGGCCTTTTCTCTTTAGTCAAATTTAGTTCGAAGCATCACAAGCATCACTGCGTTTAAAATATTATTTCTTAATGTCCCATGCGATCGGAATCACTCAGACACTTTAAAAACAGCACTCTTTCTGTGCTTTGTGTGAAGATCTCTAACGAAAATCCACCTAATGTGTCCCTCCAACTGAGGAATGTTTTAGCTATGTTTTAAAGACTAGCCATTATAGCTGTTTTCTCAGGAAGAAATTAAAGGCGCCCTTTCCGTTCATTTTGGAAAACAGACAGTTGTGTTTCTTTGCTCTTTTTTGCGGCCCACGTTTAATAAAAAACAGCAACAACAACAACAACAACAACAACAACAAAAAGTGCAGGTAGAAAACCTCCCATTGAGGTGCTTAGTCACTGTAAGTTTACACTGAGGAAAAGAAAACCAAAAACCTTGCCTTTTGAAGTTCCACCCCTTTGCTAATGCTGTGTGTATGTCCAATCCTGCTGCACCCTCATGGCCCGAATTGACTTGAGTGTACGAGAGCAAATTAATTTTCAACAGTAAATTTTAACGAGTGTGTGTTTTCGATACAGTGGACCTTGAAAAGGTTCTTCAAGGAAAGAGAAGGAGTTTCATAATGAACACCAATGCTTCTGTCAAGAGCATTCAGGAGAAATTTGAGCATGTTTGGAAAATCCAGCAAACGCAAAGGTACAGTCGTTGGCATTTGTACTCAGACCCTGTGTGCCATTTCGTAGTATTCATGGGTCCAGGCTCCTTCAGAGAACACGATGGTCTTCTATTTGCTTGAAGCTGGATAGAAAAATATAATCGGGTTCGTTCTTCTCTAATGAAATAGTTGACCTCACACCTCAAGGCCATTGAGATGCATTTCCTAACCGTCAGTAAAGATGGCTTTTTCTCGCCCTTTTGAATTACACTTGAGTTTACTTAACGTAAACAAGTTTGTATTCATTCCACGGGTGGGCTTTACTGAATCCAGGGTAAATGTGTTAAGCCGTTAGTCTTGTCGTAGGAGCTATGTACAGCTGTATAGAAAGAGGCCAGTTCTCTCTTATCCCTCCGTCGTAAACTTAAATACGTGGGGTTCGCCGGTCTTTTGTATGCAAGTTTTAGCGGGTCACAGTTGCGAACCCTGTCCTAGTCCTGTTTGGAAATATAATGATAGGTGCACACAATATCCTCCTCGGATCTGTGTGTGATACCACAACCTGGGTGTTATTCAGAAATAGAGAACAGACAAAGGCCTCTCGTTGTAGATAAAATGCATCTCTCTGGAGAATCGATGCTGCAACAAATACCCCTTAGTTTTCAAGCGCTAAGGCATGAGAGATGACTTCTCTCGTAGCCACCGAAGGAGCAGTTAGTGGTTGTGGAACGAGAGTAGATCATCTCTCCTGTGTTCCTATTTCACATCAGAAGGTTCCTGGGGCTGTGATCCCCTCCGCTCTCTGTAGTGTTGATCATAAGAAATCAGTTCTGACTTGAATGTGCTGTTTTGCTTTTGGTTTATGGTTTTGAAGTGTCATGATGCTCATTCTTCTGTTTGCCAGGGAGAAGCTTTATCGTGCATACTCCCGGCAGCTTCTGACTTTGCATCAGGAGTGGGAACTGGAAACACAGAAAGTCAAGGAACAAGAAGCAAAACTAGTTGTGGGTGTTAGGCTGAGCCATGTCGTTGACCCAGTTGGGTCAGCGTCTCCAGTCGCGGTAGTCGACACGTGAAAACAGGAGGGCAGGTGGAGCCGGTGGGCCAGATGCACAGAAGCGGTGGCCGGGGGAGACTTGACATCCTCTTTGGATGGCTTCCCTTTCTTTGGTGACATGGTCGGGGCCTCAGGCAGGAGCAAGGGTGGGGCGGGCAGGGGGTTGGGGGAGCTGTCCCCTCTCAGGGTAGGGGGGTAGGCCTGGAATTGGTGGTGGAGAATGGTGGGCCGCTGAATGGGGCACAGGGGGACGTAGGGTGAGCAGCACCACGGTGGCCGTCAAGGTAGAGTGAGGTGGTCAGTAGAGTGGGGGCAGAGCAGCCGCAGAGCTGGCATTTCCAGGTTGGGGTTCTAAGCACTTGGACAGGGAGGAGGGGCAGGGGCATATTGCAAGGATGGAGGAGTGATGGCAGCCCTGGACCGTGAGCTGGGACCGTGGACGGCGAGGACACGGGTGGGGATGTGGGACAGTGAGAGTGCTCCTCCACGGGATGTCAGGCCCGGGAGACCACCAAGCTGGGCCACGGAAGCCAGTGACACACACGGGCAGGGATGTGGCAGGTGGGCGGGCATCAAGAAAAAATGGGACACCCGGGAGGAGAGCGGGCAGGAGGTGGACTCTGGAAGCCCACTGTTGGAGGCCCCCTCATCCCTTCCGTAGCTGGCTGGGAAATTAAGGGCCGAGTATTTACCTGTGCACCCCAAGTGCTTACCCGAGTATTTATCTGTGTGCCCCAGGTGCTTACCTGAGCAAGGGCACATACTCAGGGAGCTGTACTGAGCGTTCTGTGAGCTCCTGTTAATAAGCTTAGTTAAGATGGGTCAGACGGTGTCTGCCGTGTTCCCACCTCTGACTTGGCCATTAGCGATGGTATGCGGGATGTTGCCGTTCTGAGGAATGAGACTGTCTAGGCTGTGGCTGTGTGAGTGGCTCATGTCTGGGATACACCATGATCCTAGGTGGAGGAACACAAAGACTAGCATCATCTGCTGGATCCCTCAGTGGCTTTTGAAGCCCACAAAACCTAGGTTGTCCACGTTGAGCATTGTGAAGAGAGAACATTTCCTATCCGACCGATGGGAGAGGTTTAGATGCCTTTTGTGTGTTATCGGTGAACATGCATTACGAACACTTGCTCATCGTGTTTGTTACATCAGCAAAAATTTTAAATGTGTGTTTCCAGACTACCTTGGTATTTAATATAAAATTATTTTTGGATAAATTTAAAATTCCACCCAACTCGTTAGTACAGCTTTTTCCTTTTTTATTTGCAGAGCATATTTGAACAGCTACAAGAGGCTTTTCAACAGTCTAGAATGGTCCATAGCCACGGAATAAATGCATTCAAAGCGTTATTTGAGGAATTCTTGAAGGTCTGTCGTATTTGGTATCCCAGGATATGCTTATGGAAACATTATGTGTATATGGCTGTTGATAATACTGTGCTCCTTTCTGAACTTACATTAGAAACATTTTGAGGACAACCTTCAAATTTCCTAAGCACTTTCCATTTTTATTTCATTGGCTCAGTTGTAATCTACGACTAAACGTATTTTGACTTTCGGATTCGTTAGTGGTTGTGAATGATATTCCAGACAGGAAGCTTTGTCCGCGGGTACATTGGTTCTCAAGTAGCCCATACAATATTTTTTTCATTTGGAAAAGATAATGTCCATCATTTGAACTCAGCTGCTGCTCTTTTTGTCATGCAACTGCGCACATTTCTAATAGAAGGTGATGCAAAGTGCTGCTTTGAGACGGAACTAGGTTTGTTGTTTCAGAGAGCCGAGGACCTGGAGGCGAGTCATGGAAATCATTCTCCTGGGGAGCTAAGTATGTTCAGAAAAGAAATGGCCATGTTGCAAGCCGAACTTATGAAGCAAATTGTAAGTGGGATTTTTTTTGTCTGTTTGTTGTTTTAGTTTTTGCTATTGGGTGGGTCTGCTTTCCAGGGATGGGGAGGGAGGGAGGGGAAAAGTGAGAGATCACCCCCCAGGGGCGATGGCCATGTCACAGTCCCTTCTCCTCCATTCCTCTCTCAGGGTTTTGAGCATGCATGCACATGCACCCAGCGTGATTTTCAAGTCACTGGGTCTGCGGACTCAAACCATGCAGTCGGTCACGTGGGATCCAGCCGCCTTAACCCCCGTGCCACCTACTGACCCAGTAATGTGTATTTAAGGTTGAAAGCAAAGAGTTGCTCTAAGCAGCATTTTATTTGCTGTGTTTCATATAGTATTTACCCAACAGTAAACGCATGCTCAATACCTTCTTTTGTGGAACAGGAGCATCAAACAGCGGTCAGTGCTAAGCTTTCTCTCCACTCCCTGCTGTTCAAGTGATCCGTGGAAGAAAGAATCTCCTGCAAAGTGATGAGATACACTCATCGAACTGTTAGTAGCTACAAGAAGCTAATGTGGTTTATCAAAATTAGTGCAAGTTTTTTGTGTGCTCGTTTGTTAAGGGCAAAGTCCCCTCTCTGTTAAACCCTAAGAAAGAGGTAGAAAGAGTTATGTGAGCAGCAGCCATTCTGGAGGTTCCCGCCCCCTGGGAGCGGTGGGGGGCTTCTTTCCCTGTCACTGTTGTGGAACTTTCAGCAATAAAGAGGATTTAACCTTAGCTTTGGCCTCAGCGTGTCTGTGTCAGTCCCAAAAGGTAAAAAGCGTGCCCGTGGAAGGCTACGTTGTCCTCCCTCGAGGAAAACGTGAGAAGACAGAACCTGTTCATGTACATGCTTTTGTGTAGATCCATCTAGTCACAGAACCTAGTGTGAAGAAAATACAATTTCACAGGACATATATTCTGTGAATTACTTAAAAGCATGGGTAGTCTGTGCAGCGTTATAAAGTAACCTGCTGCAAGTTAATTGCCCTCTGCTACCTATCCATTGTTTCGACCTTCCCTGTCCTTGTCACTTCCAGCCTCCCTTTTGCTGCACAAGATCAGGATGGCTTCGTATCCCTCGTTATATTATGAAAATTCCTGCTTAATAAAGTGCTGTGTGCCCTTTTGTTCTAAATTTGTTCAGACCCCTTATCTGTTCATTTGAAGACTGAGATTGTGGGGAATGTGGAGATGGAAAATAGTTAAAATACTATTATCAACTTGTTTTTTTTTTTTTCTTTTCCCCTTTCAGGTTTTTTCCATATGGTGCATGCACTTGCTGGAGACAGAGAGAGGGAATGTGAGAAATCACACACACACCCACACACACACACACACACCCCGCCACCCCCAGGGGAGATGGCCATGCTGCAATCCCTTCTCCTCCATGCTCCTCTCGGGAGTTTGGGCATGCACACACACATACCTGGTGTGATTTTCAAGATGCGGGGTCTTGGACTAGAATGGTGGTCAGCCATGTGGGAATCCAGCGTCTTAACCACGACGCCACCTGCTGGCACCTGCTATTGGGTCGTCGGAAAAGTCAAGATGCATTTTTGCATTGAAAGACAGAAAAAAATACATCATGACTTTGCTGATGACCCAATAGCTACTATTTTAATAAACAGAATTGTTAAAGACTTAAAAGAAGGGGTAGCATTTATGGATGCTATGACAAATTAATAAACAATTTAAGATTCTGATTTTGGCTTTTCTTCACTTACTATGGATAATGAAGTATAACGGATAGTGAAAATGATTACAATTACAATTTTACACTTATAATTTGAAGAGTATAGCAGTGCTTCAAAGCTAAACATGCCTGAAACACGGTCTGCCAGTAATCAAGATAAACGTGCAGCCCCAGTAGAAGTGGAGAAATCAGCCAGTCAGGACTGCGTTCCCAAGAAACAGTAATGGAAAGAAAACAAGAGTGTGATCTTCTGGCCTGTTTCCCATGCCATAACGTACAAAAATTTATTATTATTTTTTTTCAGAGTCAACGAAGGCTATGAAAAGAAATGGGCTTTGAGTTACATGACACTTGACCATTAGTGCATTGGTCTCTCCGTGTAAGAAATACACAATAAGCATAAGACCCAACACCATCACGGTGTCCATGACATGCGACTATGCTCTGCTGCTGTGGCGCCGTGTCCTAGGTCTTACAGGATTTCGTAGGAGGCAGCTGCAAGTGAATCACGTAAAGCCGTGAACTCTCTTCTGTAGTTAATGAACTGAGGCAGGAGAAGACCTTTTCTGTTTTTCGCATGAGGCAACCGCTTCTTTAAAAGCAGTGTTAAGTGTAACACCTTTGTTCTTTATGTAAAAGAGAAACTGGGCCAGCAGGTGGTGTGGTAGTTAAGGCAACCGGATCCCACATGGCTGACTGCACAGTTTGAGTCTGGACTAGGTGGCTTGAGAAACATGCTGGGCGTGTGTGCATGCATGCCCCAGATATCTTAAAAGGAGAATGGAGGAGAAGGGATTGCAGTGAGGTCATCCCCCTCGGGGGTGCTTTCTCTCTCCCTCTCTTTGCCCCCACCCCCCGCCATGAGTGCACATGCCCTTTGGTAAAAGCAAAAGAAGAAAATACAATAAATGGAGAGAAATTCATGGAAATGTTTATAGCATGAGTGCATTCTATCTCAAATGCTCACTATGTAGAAATCTGTATCTTCGTAATCACGTGGAGGTTCAAGATAGTATTCATTGTAAGATCAAGGGACAGGATTTACTCCACCTGTTTAGTTACTAACAACTGAAAGTTGAATCATGATGCTATTCTATTTTAATCCTCTTAAAATTATACCTCCATTTTATCTTTTGACTGCAAACCAGTCCAGCCCAACAATAAACACATATTAATTAAAAGTGATCGTGTATATACTATGTAGAGTCTCTATCATCTATCCATAATCTCTTTATCTATCTGGATAGAAGAGCATTAGTATTTGTTTCAAACACATGGGACTATGAAATGTCCTATCTTTTTCCTCAGTTGTAAAAATAAAACTTTTTTTTTTTTCTTCCAAATGCTGGCTCCATAGCACAGCCGTTAAACCCTGTGCGTAAGGAGCCAGATCCCACATAGCTGACTGTGGTTTGAATCCTGGCCCTGGCAACGTGAAAAACTTGCTGGGCCTACATGCATGCGTACCCAAAATCTTGACTCGATATCGAGATGGAGAAATGGAGGGGAAAAGGACTGTGGTGTGACCATTTATTCCAAGTGAATAAACTGCATGCTACCTTACATTTTACCCTTTTATCTATTTATATTTGTTTTCAGTGGGGATGGAAACCATTCTTCTCTGTTTTATTTGAACCAAAAGATACTGTAGCAGTCAAAATAGAACTAATACCTCACATCTGGTCCTTGCGACTGCATTTAAGTGGGTACTAGGTTCCCATGAAGGAATAAACCTCATCAAAAGCCATGTCATGGTATTAAGGGGGAAACTGGCCTTCAGCGTTCAGGCCTGACTCAGCCCTTACCCTCTCCCTGTGGACCTGTCTGATCCCCAACCCTGCAGGACCCACCTCCTTCTCTTCCCACACACTCTTCTCTTCCCTTCCTCTCCCCCTTCCCTCCATCAGAGAACATCACACACACACCATTTCCTATGACCTTGATTTTATTTTTGTCCCTGTCTTATACCCTTTGGTGTAATAGTCACTGCCTACATGGCTCCGCAGTTTCCAGTGGCCAGACCTCTGGAGGCTTCATTGATAGCTCTGGGGTCCCTTAAGTTACTGGCTGCCCAAGGAGACACTTGAGGTGGTAGAGTGCTCCACTGCATTTTGCACTTCCACTCTTACTGTTTATCCTATTGGCTTTAATTCATCTCTAGTTAATTGGTGTTCCGTGAACCACTGCCTATCTGTAGTGCTTACTCCCTCAATTTCAACAACAGCAGCAACAACAGCAAATGAGAATTTAGTGTTGAAAAGAATGTGATATTCATCTCCTGGCTTCAAAGAGTTAGTTTAGTTGTATTCTGTCATCTTTATTGAATCTCAATGTGGTAACTCTAGTTATCAATGGTAGCAAGTCAGTATTCCAAGAAGATATAAGAACGGATCAGTGAAGGTGTTATTTCTGTTGACAGAAATAACCAAGCTCTGTAGAAGTAATTAAAATGGTTTATTCTAAGCATGAGTATGACTGACCAAGTCCCGGAAGCAGAATCACTGGTAGCCCAGAGAAAGCGTTTAAAGGTGCTTCGATGCAGCAGCTCCTGTGTTCAGTTCTGAGGGCAGGAGACACTAACAAAATTGTGAATCAGCATGTGGGGCATCTTTACAATGGCCTGGCCCCAAAAGGCAGATTATCTGGAATATTTGGAAGTGGGAGCTTACAGGTCATAGGTGGGTTTAGACATCCTTAGGTTAGTAATTGGTAAAAAGCATACATCTGTGTCGAAAAGTCTCAGAGTGAGCAGAAGAGAACGCCCAAGTTTAGCAGAGACAGGAAGGCTTTACTATACAGTATGTCGATATAATGCTATGTGGGATCCAGCTGCCCAAACCTGCACTCTACCTACTGGCCCACTACTTAATGTTTTTGTGTGAGGTGTTAACACATGCAATCACTAAGGCGAAGGGAGTAGAAGTAAAGGAATTGGAAAGCAAGTGAAATTATCTGTTCTTACAGGTGACATGATAATATACATGTGTACCCTAGAGAATCAACAGTAAAACTCATTGAAATGGCAAAAAAATTCTGCTAGGTTCTAGGTTGTAAAATTAACGTGCAAACATCAATAGCCCACACATGTACAAAAAGCAACATATTAGAAGACACCATGAAAAATTCAAAAAAAATTCTTCATCTAGGGGCTGGCAGGTGGCATGGTGGTTAGGGCACTGGACTCCCACATGGTCAACCACTGTTTGTGTCCTGGACCTAGAGGCTTGCTTTCTCACTCTCCTCCCTACCCACCCCCCCGCCATCTGTCTCTCTCTGGTCAATTTTTTAAAAAGTAATAATAATAAAGTTGAACACATAATTATTTTTAAAAATCTTCATCTACAAGATCAACAAAAATGAAGATATAGGAGTAGAATTCAGACATATTCAAAACAGTACAAAGAGCTTTTAAAAGACACAACAGTAGACTTTGACAAATGAGAAGAAATCCCTTGTTCCTTGTTGGGACTTTACGACGTCAAGATGTTAGCTCTCCCTACGTAAATGTGTGATTTTGAAACAAATACCAGCAACTTCCCTTTTTCCATGGAGAAACCAAGATGATATGATGCTTACAGAAAAATGCAAAAACAGCTACAAGAACAACTGGATGGACAAAGCAAGCTGTATGGGAGAGTTGGCCTATGAGATCTTCTAGTGTACTCCCAAGGCTCTGCCATTCACACAGCCATGGTACCAGCATGTGAAAAGACTGGAGGACCTGCGGGACAGAAAAGAAAGCGCAGGAGTCAGCCCTGCAGCATAGGGAAATCTAGGGTGTGGTACAGGTGGCATTTTGTGGGGAGCCGCCCACATAAAAATGGCTGCCATGACCTTCACTGCTTAAAATGGCTGGTGCGACCTTGACACAGACACCAGGAACGCAGACCTCCTGGTTCAGACAGAACTGACAGGTCCTCAATTAGGTCCGCTGTAAACCCCGCCTACCTCCCTCTGCCTTGTGTATATAAGAAAGTGCTCTGGCCCTCAATAAACAAGCGAAACCTTCATACCA